TGCCATCCATTACCGGGACATTTACATACCGAAACATTTCATCTAAAATAAGTTTTAAATTATTAAAAATGCTACTTGAATATTCAACAATTTCTTTTGAGAATCGATGAACGAGAATAAAACTAAACTCAAAGTTAGTAAATGTTCAGAGAGAAAAATCGATAGAAATTCTTTAAAAATCGGGTACAAAATTTGTAGATTTTGACGTGAGGTAGAAAGAGTATTAAAATGATTAGGAAAATATATTAATTAATACAACTATTACTTATAAAAATTGTTTAATAGGTTATAATTAATTTCGGTTGATTACAAATTTGTTTTAATTAAAAACTTTCCAGGAAATTGGCTTAAAATTTACAAGATACATATTACTTTTCTAGTTATTTTTTCATTTACAGTTTGTAGTGTTCTGTAATCTCTCTACCGCCTCTACGATAAATTCGTTACGCATTTAAGTAATACCCTATTTATTCTAATATACAGTGCACTGTGTATAATTTTTTCAACTCGTAGTTCAGCTGTTAATTATTAATGAAATAAATCCGGTAACATTATTAATATTCTGACAACCATTCAATACTCAACACACTTTCATTTTATTTCAACGCGCGATAAGAGTGAAAAAGCTGAATAGTGTTAAATATTTCACTTTACAAAAACCCTATCTTCTTCGTTAGACATCGTGTTTATTATTAGTGTGTTGTTCGTAGCTCGACGGGCTGGCCATTTGGAGTTATCCGGATTTTCTTCACCCGTCTAATTTCTAAATAGGAGCGGGTATATTTTCCGAAGAAACTCCTTTTCTCTTTGAGAGATCGCTCTTATGTTGCATTGTCTTATCTCGCAATCCTACTTAAAAATAATTAATTTTATTGTACGAATTGCGTCATTATAACTTAACCTCTACAACAGTCATAGAACATTTTAAAGTGTAATTCTACGAGTAAATCTATCACCCGAAGATCTCTCGGTCACAGAATAATTATCTCGGTTTAATCATTTTCCGCATTGTTATTCCTATTTTTAATGAAATTTACGCAACAAATCACACAATAATTCCAAATAATATACCTTATCGATCATTTAAACTTTCCACGCGTTCATTGAAGTGAGTCTTTTGGTACACAGGTACGACAGATTAACGTCGAGATAAACTTCAATTTTTGATTGATAATATGAATTCGTCGAGTTAATGTTTCCGAATGACAATAGAAATCAATTTATAACTTGTGTAACGCGCACAAACACGGATATCATCGATTAACCATTACCGATTTACATGTATTAATCAAGCAAAGTCATAGCTTCGATCCGCAATAAATCATTGGTCATTTCATCAGAAATATCAAATGATCGAGTGTTTTATCAGTTACGACACTTTTGACGTCAGTTTATCGATTACCGTCGTTTTGATAAATAATTGAAAATCGTCGAAAGTCGTGTGAAAAATTAACGAATGAAGACTTTATTTTTCATCGTTGTGTTAATTAAAATTGAGGTTTTCTAAAAATTTCGTAAATAAAAGCTTCATAATAAGATAAAACTTTTGATTTCGCAACGATAAAAATGACAATTTAATTCCATATTTTAAATTATTTTCTATTTCCGTTAAGATTTTATTAAGTTAATTTTAAAATTTTTTGACTCTTTTGCTCTAAGGGCACTAAGAAGCACTTTTTCATATTCGTTATGGGTTTTGTTGGTTTATTTGGTTACGGCAACGTGACACGAGTGTACACCGCCTGATCTGCCGAGGGGATACCTCCCGGAAAGACTTCTTCATAAAAGTTGTGGAAAACTGGCTCCTATTTAGATGTTACAAACGTGAAGAAATACACGTAGCCAGCCAGTTGCCACCACCACCACCAACAGTGATTTTATCCACTTCGGCCACTGGTGGGATCGTGGGTTCGGTCACGCCTGCAACGATTTAGCCGGGTAGTGAGGTCGGCGCTGACACAAATTTCAGTGTAAACGAGCTATTATTTATTGTGACATCGGGCTGCAATTTTTCGTCACAATTCTATCAATTTTAGTAGCATCTTTCCCCTGTACATCGTACTTTTTCCGTTAACAATAGTCACGGGGTCATCTATCTAACTCCGTTCGGGAGAAAATTTTGATTTGAAGTAAAAATTCCGCTCCAAACCAGAAGTTCGTCTATACATAATTGGGCTCTCGTTCTTAAATCTTCCATATTTGGTCTCGATTTTCGTCTAACTCCGTTCTGTAGATCGAGGAAGAATGGGCGGACAAAGAAACAAACGGACTGCAATTTTCAAAAATTTCAAACGTATAAATTCTCATTAATGAGATATTTGCCCCCATCCAGAGTTTATTCCTGATCTCCATGAGCGGTAGGTAGTGAGCGCCTCGGTTATCCGGTTGTCCGCCAACTTGTTACTAAGAATGTCCAAAATTTGCTTACGAGAATGAGTCAAAACTCATTTGATTCATTTTCACACGATAACCACTGGGACACGGCGATTGCGGTCTTTTCCGAAATATTACTCATATAATTTATAGCACTTGTACTACAGTTTCTGCCATTCCTACAAGACTCGAGTAGTAGCCTATCCTTTCGGAGGAATCGCTTCCGATACTCCGACAATTGCTGCTTTACGTAAATGGAAAAGTTTTCATAACTCGACTTCGGTGGTAGAATAGTTAAAAATATCGAGGTACAAAATCTGGGCTTATTAATGAATACGAGACGCACGGAATGTTTTTCTTAGCCAAAACTTCACTGTGTTATAAATGTGTCGACGCGCATTGTAGTGGTGCAATCAAGAATCATTGGCGTAAAGATTGAAGGCATTTCTTTCACGTAGTATTATCAGGTGGCTGTAACGGCCGGATGACCAACGCTAAGTTAGCGGCCTAATGAACTGTGAACCAGAAATCGAATCCGGATGGGATTCGATTTCTGGTTCACAGTTCCGCTAAAAAAATCCCAGGAAATTTTAGAAATGGTCCGTGTAAATATGTCGGGCTTCGTCCCTCACCACCTGTTGAACCCAATAATGTGCTTGCTAAAAATAGTGCCTACAGCACTAAATTGAATTTTAGGAAAAGTCTGACGACTATCGAATGAGGCAATACGGCACGATGGCTCTTTATTCCTTGGCACTTAAAGAAGGCGTCAACCATTATCATCTTCATTTAGTCCAGTGATTTTCAACCGGTGTGCCGCGAAAATTTTTTTAAGGTTATTAAATAAATTACTTTGCAAAGAAGCCCAAAGAACAATAAGTGTACTGTACGTGTCAAAATTGAAACCGCTTTAAATTGATTACAGTATATGAGTTTTTCATTGCTATAACGAATAAATGAACTTATGCATAATGTAGTTAAAGCATATACAGTATTTATAAGAAAAATTATGTGTATAACGCCGGGTTATTTCATTTAAAATGACATTTTCTTTAAATCAAAAATATATCTATAATTGTCTATATTTAGTTCAAATTATTTTAACTTTGAAATAGTAGGACATTGGGCAGGTTCCTAAAAGCGATTATCACGCCATTTTTAAGTGCAAATTAAGACTTAATGTTAATTATCAATATTTCACAGTCGATATTGCCTATGGCATACACGATGTTATATTTTATTCCAAATTTGCACCAAACAAACATAGATTTAAGGGAAGTACAGCGCTAAGACAAATTGCCACCTTTTTTTTCTGCTGATTGGTTCGTGTACGGGACTTGTCGTATTATATACGAATCAATGAAATGTCGCGATAATTTAAATCGGCGTAAATTTTGAGCTTTTTTTTAGGCTCGAGCAGACCGAGTTATATCGAATCAGCGTTAATCGAGGAAGCGCTAAACGAGGTCTTACTGTATTGTTATAACCTACTGCTATTTTAAGAAACAACAATACTGTTTTATTTAATTCGCAAAAAATATAGACCGAAAGAATTAGGTTAAGTGGCAAGTAACGTGGTGATAGAATGTTTACAAACACAACTTTAAATCACGTGATTTTTTCGCATAAATCTGTGCAGCGGAAATTTAATTATAAGGTCAAGTGTGCTGAGAGATAAAGAAAGGCGAAAAACAATGATTTAGTCACAAATGGACGGCACTCAACAAAGCAACATGCTTCATGCAATTTTTGGACAGATGCGTGGATAATCTTCCTTTCAGATATACAGATCCAACATCCAATATCCAAAATTTGTTTGTGTTGTATTTCCGACAAGAAAAATCAGTTTCGATTTGTTTTAAATCGCCCTGGTAAATATTTCCGAAAGAGGAGTATGAATTATTTGACACAGTAGGAAGAAGACATTGTTAAATAATTTTTGGCAGCAAATTTAATTTACAAACCTCATCCTCTATCAGTGGTGCGTTATCCGATGAGCAAAAAGACAATTGCCTCGGGGCCTCATCAATCTTTTATAACTCATTGTTTTGATAATATCAAAATTTAAATTTGGTGCCTTATGTGGGGACCCAAGATTGCAGAGCAGAGCGGAACTTAATCCGCCAGAGGCGGCGTTAAGAAAACAACGATGATATCGGAGGACTTCCCAAAAATTCCCCCGAAGAAAAATATCTGAAGTCATATTGTATACGGGGCTCCCCTAATTAAAATTTGCCTCGGCCTCATGAAGCTAAAATACGCCACTGTCCTCTATTATTGTAGTACAACTTTCACTATTTCCTTCCTTCATAAACGGTAGATTTTTGACTTCTACAAATACATTTTCTACGTTTATCATTTAGATTTTCCATCATTTTTATTATACAGAACTGTATGTTAATTTTGTAGGTCCGAGGTCGATTCAAAAGACCCTAATTGTGCAAATTAGTGTTCGAATCCTATCTGGTATTCTAGAAGACTGTTGTTAAGGAGTGGCTCATTATGTTTTTACTTGATAAGTTTGTTCGGGTTTTTAAAAAAATAAGATTGCGATTGAAAATGAATAAAAATGAAACTTTCTCCGGTCAATATTTTAAAAATAACTTTTTCGTATTATCTCGTAACAGGGTACAAGAATCGGATGGAAACTTTTTTGAAAATTTCACGGCCCTCTCGTGGAAACAAGAAAATCGAAGATTGCAAGTAGCCAGAGAAGTAATTATTACCTCTTAAATTAATTAAAACTTGACTATAAATATTTAATTAAACTTTATTCTAAGATGTATTTTATTACATATAAACGTAACGCCGATAACAATAATCGATGAAATTAGTGCTAAGAACGTCCATCGTTTGCTTCATTTCGATGTAATAGAAGAACGAAGGTGATATCGAAGTGACGAGCACATTTCTTCTTAGACTCTCGATTGTAACCGAACTTTAACTAATCTAGGATTTAATGCAGTTGGATAAATAATTCAATAGCGTAGCCCGTTTCAAATGAGTGACGAAGCAAACAAAAATATTGGGCACGTTACCAGGCAATGTGCCCCGTATTTTGGCCATAATTGATCTAATAGGGTAGAGTAGCTGTAACCCTCGCGTTTTCGTATTTTCTATGTTGTGTGAAAATTGAACAAGCGGTGACGTTCATGAGCGCCAATTTATTCCGAAACGTTTCGGCTCTTTATGAGTGATTATAGAAACGAGTTCCAGTCTAAACCACGCTTAGGCCACCGTCTACGTTTTCTAATCCTTTCTTTTGGCAAATTATAAATTATTGACTATTGTTGATTTTGTCAAAAGCCATAGCTTAAACTTGAATAGAAGTATGTTTAAACCATGGCTCGGATCTAGATTTGCTTCTGTAATCGGTTCTAATAGAGTTGGAGCCCAAAGTCTATAAATGCTGTTTTATTTTTTAAAATTCCATTAAAAATACCTTGTTTAGGGGATAAGAAAAGTGTTTTCTCACGTCGAAAACATTTTTGTTATCAGTTTTACTTTTGAAAGAATTTCTTAGGTGACTCTGTTTAAAGTCTAGATTACTGGAATACCTGTAAAAGAATCCACTTATTTCCGCTGAAGGAGCTCCTATCAGTTGTTTTTTACCTCACCTCATTGTAACTGAAGACGCTTTTCTCTTTAGTGAAGAATCTATTGTAGCCTATTAGTTTTTTTTAATATTTATTGAACTTGCAGAAATTTCGAACTGTTTATTTTGTCATACGGGAATATACGAAATGTTAGATTTGGACCCAAAGTATTTCGTGTTGGGCAGTCTTTAGTTAAAAATATTTCTGCTAACCGTAAATTTTTATTTCTTTCTCCAATCACTCGGCATCGGCAGACTTTCTTAGAGAACGTAAGAGTAATAAATTTTAATTAAAATGCCTCAATGTCCTTTTCTTACTAAATTATAAATTTTCGTCTATAAACAAGCATTCACTATTATCAGGACTTATTATACTGGCTTAACAGACAATACAGAGTTTCACAGAAAACAATTTTTATTTAATATTTAATATACCTGTTTCTTTCTCCATGTTTTCTGTTCTCTGCAAATATTAAATAAAAATTGTCTGTTTAGCCAGTATAATAAGTCCTGATAATAGTGAATGCTCGTTCATAGACGAAAATTTATAATTTAATAAATTTTAAACTAACTTAAATCATATTTGAATTTAATAAAATTTGAATATTTTCCGATTACTCTATCGAATACAAGGGCAGGATTTTATATAAAAATAAATTATGTAGTTCGCACTTGTGTTGTCTTCAGCTTCTTTCGCAAATTTGCCGGGAACTAGGTGTGCGTGCACGAACGGGTTCTGAATCATTTAACGAGAATACACAACTGCAACCCGAGATGTGCTTTACAATTTTATATTCTGGCTATTGCTACTTCACGTCACAATAGTCTATTCGGCTAGATTATTGTGACTTCACGTCACAATAGTCTAGCCGAGATAAATGAAACGTACTGTATTCTAAACGTATTCCTGTATTCTCCTTCGAAAACTCTTCTTAAAGAGGGGCGTACACTACACGATTTTGCTGGTTTGACGGACGGGTTTGTTGCCCGGGAAAACTTATGAGGAAAACTAACATTAGGCAACATTTTCCTCTAGTAATCAGTCACGTGCTGCAGCTTTTCCAAACAAAAATGGTCGCCTCTATCGAAAGACGTTCGCTGATTGATTGTTGGTGGCAAGAATTTGTCGTTTTCGGAAAATCATTATAGTCCAACTTTTTTTGTTGAGTAACAACTTTTGTGACGTCAAAATCGGCCAACAGACGACGTTGGACAGCAAAATCGGATAGTGTTCGACCCGCTTTACATAACGGAGACCTTCTGGATGAGAAAGATCTTCAATCTCGTCTCATTTCCCATACTTTATACAGGGCTACACATTGTAGGCCTATAGATTTTAAAGCGAATTTGTTTTAAATAATTTTTCCATAATTATTGATAAATTTAATCATAAAACAGGTGCACTACAGGATGTTCGAAAGCGCTAAATTGATGGTAACAATAAAGCTGATAGATTGGTTTAAAATTTAAAAAATTGTTTTTCTACTCAGAAAAAACTGAAATTTAAGTAAAATTTATTAAGACGGAAACGCACGAACTTAATTAATGGACGGTATCAATCAATGTGAAGACGTCTTTAGATCAGAGAGAGTTTTGTCTAACGATCGAAAAGGCATTTTTAGCAGAATTTACCATCTTATCTCATTTAAAAAGTAAATAGAATTTACCAGATTTTTTAGTTTTAGTAGTCTACTACACTTTGAAATGCACAAATCAAAATGACACTGAAATTGAAAAGTGTCTTATCCCACTATTTTCAACAATAATATAATGAAAGGAACCTTCTCCCAATCCAATAACTCGTAGTAATCAAATATAATTAAACAATTTTATAACAATTTTACATTCAATTCAGAAAATGTAGCAAACTCTAAGAAATAGAAGCTAGAGCAGGTTTTGAAATCAAGATACCAAACACGAGATTATTTAATGGTGCTTAAAGTTGTCAAAAGGTTACGAACTGCCGAAGACGAGTAAAATCGCATTAAATCAACCGTTATTGAAACGTTAATTAGCGCTATTTTTCCTGTTCCTGTTCTCGTTTTGTCATCTGTCATCTGTCCTTGTCTTTGTCACAACCTATCGAATTACATGCAGATCCAGATCGTCCAAAAAACACGAACTTGAAGCGGGTTAAGTAACTCATACGCAATGCGCTATGCGAGACAGATTTAATGTCCTACGAAATAAGTAATATTTAGCATGTATACAATATTAATAAGTGGACCATTAATATCGTAGGGGCCCACCAGTGGCCAAAAAGACCTCCCTAGGCCAGGGGTCGGCAACCTTTTGAGTCGGAAGAGCAAAAATTACAATTTACAAAATTTCAAAGTTTTTAAAGAGCCACAAAATTTTTTCTTGCCAACAATAAATAGTACTCGCATAAATAAAGTTTTTTAATAAAAAAAACTAATCTATTTATTCATAAGAAAAAATATCTATTTATTCATATATAAGTAGTGTTTTTCACAACAAATTAAATAATAGAAACATCCGACGACGGCGTCATTCGAGAGCTTCCGACGGACTGACGACAGTGACGACGCGTGTCACGGGGGAGGGGTGCGGTGAAAAGCGAGTACAAGTGGCTGAGAGATACAATCGGTGCCTAATCCTCGTTAATCGATTCAGAACGATTTTTAAATAATTTTTTTTATAAAATAAATATTTGCGTATGGAACTAAAGAGCCGCAGCTTCACATTCAAAGAGCCGCATGTGGCTCGCGAGCCGCAGGTTGCCGACCCCTGCCCTAGGCAGATCGCCCAAGTGTTTCGTTGCCATAACTAAACAAACAAACATTAATACCGTAGCAGCTTTAGTACGATTATTTAAGCAATAAAAGATTTTTTTAACAAACTAATCGCGTGCTTGGTAGGTCCGCAGTAGGGCATCCAGATGGCGAGATAAGAGGCATCACGACGTGTCAGGACCCTTATCTGGCCCGAAAAACTATTGCCGAGTATCATCGGCTCGAGCTCGATTCCGAATCGCTGGCGGCGAAAATTACCTGTTCGTGTCATTTCGTGAGTCTTAACAGTAATTATTGATCAGAGAATCAAAAAACAGAGTTTAATGATAAAATTATCCAAATATTCTGAAAGAAATGCGGCAAGATATAAGAAATGCCTACATTCTTCCGCTTATCCTTTCGTATTCGATTAAACTTGTATTTTTTAGTCGCATTTATTTCTTCGGATATTTAATATATCAAATATTTTTTTCTTATCGATTAATAACACAGTATAAAATATTTTTGGCATTAATAAATCAATTCAATAATTCAACTTTGACAGATTCCGAGAACTTAAGTAATGGTGTCGCCAGGAACTGTTCCTCATACCTCAACAATGGATGACCTGTACGAATCAATTTTAGTTCACTAAACTAACGAAAATATCATTCCGATTTACATCCCTAAATGTAATATTTACTTATTACATTATTATTATACACGGTTGTAATTTAGGTTATTCCTTAACATTTTAAGATGTTCACGTTGATCGATTTGACTGTAATTACAGATTATTTTTGCTGATTGTTATTATTTAATTCTTCCAAAAGCGGTAAAGCGCGACGTAGCAGCTGTTCCTTATTGAATTCAGATTGCTAACAAAGTTCATTTCTAATTTTAATTATAGATTTAAAACAATAACCATAACGATATCAAAATAAATAGGTTACAAAATAATTATTATTGATTATTTTTTCGCATTTATACTTTCTATTGGTTACGGACGACTGTTTACAACCAGTCGAATATCCAGATGTTAGAGATCTGTTCCGCTATCCCAAAATCTTCTATCGACAATGACCTTAAGCTATACTCCGTTGTTTTATTCTAAGATTGCATTTCTACGTGTATTATACATCGAGACAATATAATGTCAATTTGCTCTTAAGCATTGAATTTTTCGCGTACTTATCTGTTTATCAATCTATAATTTTAATCAATATGAGTTGCAAAAATAGCGACTAGACTGTATTGTCAGTAAAAGAGAATTATTATATTGTATTGTAGCAGGTGTTTAGGTTTGATAAACAAGAGTATATCTCTATTCTATTGAGTGTACGATGGCCGGGTGACCGTTTCAGGTGTCAGACTGTCTGTCTGGGGAT